AGTGAAGGTTTTAGAGTTTGATATGAGGGTTAAAATTGTAAAATAACTTCCCGTACTTAGCATGAGGGGTTTAGGAGTTAAACGTCAAGGTATGACTCCCCAAGGACCAATCAAAGGGGTCCTTGAGGAGGACCCCAAAATAGCCCCAAAAGCTGTCAAAAAAATAGCCTTCCCACGAAGTGCTTAATTCCCCTTTGTTTTTCAAGCCCCAGTCCACCACCACGAATGACCAGTACGGTCCGTGGGTGTGGTCTCGTGGGTGGGGCAGTTTTGAAGTGTAATTGTTTTAAGTTGGGGACTTAGGGGTTAATTCATTATTAGTTAGGGGTTAAGTGAGGTTGATTTATTAGTAATTAGACCATCTATATAAACTTAATAGACCCCTAAATACATTGATCCTAGACATAATTTCAAGACCCCAAACTAACCCAATTCCCTCCAAGAAATTCTCTCTCTAGAAGTAAAGAAGAAGAAGAAAAGAAGAAAGCTAGAGCAAATTCCTCCATTGAAGCAAGCTTTGTAAGGGATTTGAATCAAGGTATGTTAGCTTATTCATCTATGGATTCTTCCATCCATAGAGCCCCCTAGAATTTTCCCAATTGTGAAGACAAACCCCCCAATTCTAGCTAGGGTTTCTTCCTACATTGTGGGTAGTGTTAAAGTATGATTCCAATTGAGTGGATAGTACTTGTTTATGATTGTTTTAGTATTGAATTATGATATTATGATGAATTTATGTGTTTTACATGGTTAACCCTAGTCTAATTGATGAAATTGATATTTTGTAGGTTTATGTCATGAAAGGTGAAATTGAAGACTTAGAGTTGATCTTCTTAAATTGATGATGTCTATAGTAATTGTTCATGAATGAAAGCTGGTAGATGATAGTATATATGATGGATCATTACTAGTAATGATTGAAGTTGAAGCTTTATGATGATTTGTGACTAGAATCACCTAATAATGAAGAATGTGATTAGAATACCTTGAAATCTAGGTATGAATGATGATTGTAGAAGTAAAGCTTTGAGAGTAGGGCTTGTAGTCATGAATGTTAATAACTAGGGCTTGAGAGTAAAGATAATATGATTAACTATGGATGTTAAGGTTTTGAGAGTAAATCTACATGTGAATAGAAGGCTAATGAATAGAATTGTGATGAAAGATATTTACCTACCTAATTCATTAGGAAGTGATAGAATCACTTGAGTCATGATGATATCCATGTCTAATGGAGAATTCTAGATATGATATTAGGCATGAATATGAACTTAACATGAAAGGGGTTCTCACATAGTAATGGTTCAAAGGTTGAAGGGTTTTTCTCACCTAATTTAACCTAAGGCTAAAGAGCCTTCATACCTAGGTCATGGATGGTGATAGTTTCTCACACATGGTCTAAGGAGGTATTTTAATGAATTAACATGGATTGGTTGTCAAGGACATCTTTCTATGAAACTTGAGTCAAAGTAGAGACTTAGTAGTTATCTTGTGAGATTTAGGCCTAGAACCGAGTGGATATTGAAATGAGATGGAGGTTCCCACCTAGTTGAGTTTGGGCTTCCAAAATGGGAACTCTCACCTAGTAGAGTCCGGATTTCCCAAGCATGTCTCATGAGATGGAAGCCTTCACCTAGTGGAGTTTTGGGTTTCTAGTAGCAATCTCCGTATCCCATAACTACGTACCCCATTAGGAAAGTTAGCTAGTGGATTCGACTAAGCTAACAAACTGGTGCTACCTTAGGCAAGTGGACCAACCCTTGACGGTGTGGATAACACCGGGAGGGATTATGTGATAGCTCACATGTTCTCATGTCGGTTAAGGCTATATCCCAACTACAACAAGATTAGTAATGAACTAAGATTATGATTGAAGAAGCATCTCCTAGAAGTTCAAACCTAATGGACTAAGATTATGCTTAAGGAAGCATCTCCTAGAGGCCAACACAATTAATGAACTAAGATGTGCTTGAGGAAGCATCTCCTAAGATTCAAACTTAATGAACTAAGACTATGCTTGTGCAAGCATCTCCTAGAGTTCAAAACAATGATGAACTAAGATGTACTTAAGGTAGTATCTCATAGAGTTCAACTTAATAAGGAACTAAGATATGCTTAATGATGTGCCTCCTAGTGTTTCCAGTGTTTCCAATGTTGCCAAATAGGGACTAGTCCGTAATGTAAAAGCATGAGTATGATGACCTAAATAAGTACTTAGTATGGATGGGATTATAGGGTCTTATCTATACCTTTCACAAGTATGACTTAAGGTTACCTAAGAAGTGTTGCACTTATATGATGTATGCTTTGGTGGATTGTTGCTATAGTTTCCTTCCATGATATGATTAACTAGAGGTAATCATTTCCTTGTCTATATGAAGTAAGCTAAGAATGAGACCAAATGAATGGTAAGTATGAATATGGTGACTTCAAGGTTATGCTTAGTGTGAATGGTATTATGGGATGTCATTCATGCATTGCACAAGTATGCTTGGAGGTTACTTAGGAGTGTAGTGCTCTTATGATATGAAAGCCTACGTCTTGACTATGCATATAGCCTATGATTAAGATGACCAAAAAGGTATACTTAGCTTGGATGATATTATGGGGTCTTATTCATGCATTGCACAAGTATGCTTTAAGGTTACTTGAGAGTAGTCCTATTATGATATGAATGACTAAGAGTTGAATAAGGCTTAGATGATGCTTATGTTGGAGACTTTGCTTATGATTATGATATTGGCTCTTATGCTTATAGTTTATGTTTCATGAAGTATTTCATATGATTATGGATTATGTCTTATGTTGACTAACCCTTATGTTATGCTCTTATGATGTTATGCTAGCTAACATATTTAGTACATTTTATACTAACGCATACTTTGCCTACATTCTCATCAAATGTAGGGTTCGGAGATTTCAGTTCCAATCTTGAGGCTAGATTTCTAAGGAGCAAAGGAGTTGAAGATTTGGTGAGTCCTCATAGCTTCGAGGACAAAAGCCACTATTTCCTTTATGTCTTTTATTTTCATGTTTTGATAATATTGTATGGGCTATGTCCCAAGAGTTTGTTCAAAAGTTGTATTAGATGGTTTGAGACAAAGTGTAGTAAAGACTTCCGTTTGATTTTACAAAAGACTTCGATTGTATGGATAAAGTTTTTGAAATTTCCGTACTTTTCTATTATCTTATGTTATGATATGCTACCCCTGGGTCGTGACAGTACATGTTCCTTGTACTGACCCCTACTTGTGTTTACTTCGTTTTCTTTTGTGGAGTGCAGCAAGTATACCATCGACTTCGACTCGCCCTCAGCTCTAGCCAGTCTCCAGCTCATCAGAATTCATGGTGAGCTACCTCTTCTAGATCGTGGGGATAATATGTAATAGACTTTAGAGGTTTATTTGATTGGTTACTTTATTAAGTTTTGAGCTTACGTATTATTGTTGTTATTCGTAGTTGAACAATTGATATAATTTGAGGTTGAATTCGTTGGTTCGCTCACTTAGGAGGTTAGTGTGGGCGTCACTCATGACTCGTTTTGGGTCGTGACAAAATGTGCATTTTTGATTAATATATATTTAACTTAGAATTATCTAAAGCAAAAATAATCTATCTTATTTTTCACATTAAAGGAGTTATCTTTTGAATAGTTATTATCATATATTATTTTTTCTAGTGATGACTACAATGATAATTAAATTAATGTTATAAAACTCTTCGACTCCTTTATATGTGTGTATCTATTTGTCAATTTCTAATTAATATTCTTTTTTTTTGTCATTGTTGAAAGGTATAATATTACCTATGGTACATTTCTCATAGCAATTAGATAGTAATAGCCCCTAAAATATATGATATGGTCTATCATATTAGAAATCAATCACAAAATAAATAAATAAACCATCTTTTTAGTATTTTTAAAAATTTTAATTAATAAATGAATTATTTAATGAAAAGAATAAAGAAAGAATTCTCATTTATTTGTACATATATAATAAAAAGTTATTTTATAGTTATGCTATAATAAATGTGCATTTGTGATTAATATGTATTTAACTTGTAATTGTTTAAAGTAAAAATTATCTAACTTAATTTTTCACATTAAAGGAGTTGTTTTTGAATAGTTATTATCATAGTATTAATTTTTTTTAGTGATGACTACAATAAGAATTAGATTAATGTTATAAAACTTTTTCACTCCTCTACATGTGTTAGGGACAAATATTGATCCAACTCTTGGTATACCTTTCTACAACTTGACACTTCGTGTACTCTAAAAAAATTTAATATTTTGTCACTCTATGATAATTTTTATATAATCGAGTAGATAAGTACACATCAAAATTACTAATGACATCATGACTTCTTATAAATATACATTTTATTATATATTATGTGTTTCAATTCTTTTATTTTCCATTGCAAAGTATAATCTCCAATGTAATGTTATATAATCAACTTTTTTTTTCTTAAGATACTTTTTATGTTTTTCTTCTTTTTATCGGCAATGTTAAGCGGAAATTAGCAATTTTATGAATAGACAACATCAAGACCATAACTTAATTTGTATTGTTTTTTATACACTTTTTATTGAAAAAATAGTCAATTAAGGATATCAATTATTTAAAATATATATTCAATTCCGCGCGAAGCGCAGATAAGTACACTAATTCATAATAATATATAAAATTCAATACTTCTCCAATGAATTATCACAACCATATCATCACCGGAATGAGCTTTAACCAACCCAAATGATACAGAAAGTGAAAAGGGGAAGTTATTGAAGGTAAAATATGCTATATATACAGTAATTAAAAAAGGTACCTACAAAAAGGGTAATAATTAATGTAAAAGAATTCAATTATGTAAAATTCCAAACTTTTATAGCCACATAAATGTTAAAACACATTTAAGATCACAAAATTTCAGGACTTGCATAGCCACAATAGACACCACAAGTTTCACAAGTCTTTTTCTCTTTATTAAACTTCATGTATAATCAAACTGTCGTATAAATTAAAAAATGAACAGAAAACAAGTACAACTCCTAGGCAGTGCTTCCAAGGAAGACCCGAAAAAGTACAGCATGTCAATAAACATGAATAAGTTAGAAGCCGGGAGTGAAATACTAAAGCTGCGCGGAAAAACACTGAACATTTTTGAATTACATCTGTGAATGCCCCATACGGCCAAAGAAAATGAAACAGCTTACTGAGAAACATGAAAATACCAAGGGCAAGTCGTAAGCTCCTGGGGTCAAATAAAAGTTCCAACAAAAGTAATTATAGACAATCAACTCAGATGTGTATGCGTTTCAGGTCCTTCATATCGACCATCATCTACTTCCACAGCTTTCGCAGTGACATGTTCTTCTCAGTCTCTTTCTTCATTACTTTAGCAACAGCCATCTCAAAATCTTCTTGTGTCACATGCACCCTCCTCTCTCTTAGAGCAAACATCCCTGCTTCTGTGCATACAGCCTGCAAATAGTAGATAGAAAGAATAGATCAAGAACAAGCAAAAATACAACATAGCAAGAAATGCCATTTTGATTCACATCAACTCATGTGGAGGATCAAGGCACAGGCGAGATTAGTTCATCACATTAGATCAGAAGTTTTAACTGATAAGCTAAATAGGCCACTCAAGATGCACGTGAATGTCATTTGCTATAGTAAAGCAGAAAGTGCATGCTATCACCATACCTTAAGTTCAGCCCCAGAAGCACCACTCATCTTCTCAGCAATCTTCTTCAAATCAATCCCCCGCATCAAGTTCATCTTCCTCGAATGAATCTTCAAAATGTCCTGACGAGACTGCACAGTGATCAAAAGATAAGTTGATTGGGAACAATCATCAGCGCATTCTAAAATGATAACTAAATGATGAAGCAAGAGGTTCAGTCGCTCCAATGAGGAGCAGAGAAGGATGACTACTACAGGTTGCTTCTAGTCAAACATAACGGCTACAACTCAGCATATAAATCAACAAGCACAAGCAATCAAAATGAGCAACCCACGAGTGTATGAAGTAAAAAAATTGACCAGCTTAATTACATATTAAAAACTATATGAAGCACAGACCTCTTCATTGGGATTTGGAAATTCAATCTTCCTGTCTATCCTTCCTGGTCTAAGGAGTGCTTGATCTAGAATATCTATGCGGTTTGTGGCCATCAGAACCTGAAGCAAAAGTAAATCTTGTCTCAGCTCCAACCACTCACATCAATAAAGTTATACCCAAGCAATATACAATTGAAACAGCACGCTGAGCTTGCCTTGATTTTGTTTGATGCCTCAAATCCATCAAGCTGATTGAGAAGTTCAAGCATTGTCCTCTGCACTTCACTGTCACCATTGCCACTCCCTGATTCCATCCTAGCAGATCCAATGCTGTCTATCTCATCCATAAAAATGATAGAAGGAGCATGTTCCCTGAAGTTAAAACAATGCCAGGGCATTAGCACCAAAGAAAAAATTGAAACAGGTTGATCCATAGACCATATAACAAAAGGGGAGGGGAAACATTTGCAGAAAGGAACAAGATTCCCCCTCACACACACACCTTGTGCCCTTAATAGAACCATTATTTCTAATATATTCAGTCTTAAATTAGGTTAAGGTTGTCAAAAAAAGAGTCTAAAATCAGAGAGCTAGTTGGAGCCATCCCATCCCAATAGCATGCATTTGGAGATCAATATGAATCCTATTTTCTTGCAATACTCGTTAAATCAGGTTAATTGATCTCCAACATGACTGGTAACCACCACAATAGGATCCCTTCCCTCTTATAACCCAAAGGTCTCAAAATAAAATCAGGGAGAAAGCCGTGGTACGGAACTTCTCCCCTTACATCAGTCCTACATGACGCCAATCTGGATTAGTCGGCGGGTCAACAGACAGTGCTTTCAGATACTAGATAGTTAAACCAGAAAGAAATGTGACTACAACAACGTTCATACCTAGTATAATTTCACAAGTGGGTTCTGGAGACTGGAGAGGATAGGATGTACCGCGTACGCAAACCTTAACCCTGCCTTTGTGGGGTACGTAGGCTGTTTCCAATAAACCAAAAAGAAACATGACTGGTAGGCTAGAAATATGTGGATAGCTTGGGATGATCGATATCAACCCAGAGTCCAAAATTGTAGGCAACAAATGTTGCAAAAGATTTGACTCCACAAATTCTAATTCATAGAGGGAAAAAATTACCTCATAATATTATAATTAAGAGAATATTAGTATTTAGAACTTAGAAGTCATACTTCGTCCAGTTGGGGTGTTGGTGGCTTACCTGCGTAAATCATAACATCTTAATATCCCAATAATATGTCAAGCATCTCCAGGAAGCAGGAACTTTATCTAGAATTGATTGATGCAAGCCGAGTTTCATCAAAATCTTGGAATGAAGAGTCGAAGCTCAAGAACATACCAAAATAGAAGTACAAGGCTCAACGTGGAAGACTACTCGGAGTAGGGAGAAAGAGGTTAAGAACGCAAAGTGGCTATTCTTGAAATGCAAGCCTCTTGAATAAGAAGACTCTTAGGACCCGTTTAGTAGGCGGTATTAATTAGAATAGTCCATAGATTAAAATTTAGTCCATATAATACATTGTTTGGTTACTTTATTTAACAATCCATGGATTAGTTATAGACCATATATGGTCTTATTTTAAGGCTAGGAATTGGAGGGATAACTAATCCAAGGTTAAACAATCCTGGGATAAGACCTCTACTAAATGACTTAATTATCCCCTTATTCACTTTCCTAAATTTCTTTTGTAATTTGATTTCCTTTTTATTTGTATTGGAATGGTTATAAATGTTCTTTGTAATTCTCCAAATCCGTTTAGTGCAATTTGATGATTTCACTGATATTTTCTTTCTCCATTTGTTTTTAAATTTTTATTATTCAATGTAGTTTGTCGATTAACCACTTGAACCATTTGTTTTTTTAATAAGCTTTAGGTATTGAACAACTTAAGTAGCCTTAAATCTATGTTAAGTTTAAGATATATTGACCAACAAAAAAAATAGAAATACACTGTGCCATCAAGGATCTCCGTAGTGGTACATCACATCTCAAAATTATTAACAATTATATATA